ATATAATAAAAGAAACAACAGTAAGATATATAATCTGGAATATATATACACTGCGTGCCAAATTGTAATCGAGATAACTTTTTTATAATATTTCAAAAAACCGTCCAATCAATTCACACAAAATTTTGCACACAATGTTGGCAACACTGCCCTGCGCAATCACTTAAATTATCGTACTGATCTGCGCAATGTAAACATATATATATATATATATATATATATATATATATATATCAAGAAGACATCATTATCTCTTGAAAGAAACATTTCCGGTTAAAACTTTTTCAAAAGGTGGACGTTGACGAAGAGAACAAAATATTGTAGACACAATTGCAGAAATGGTGAATGAGGAGGGGAAATTGGAACACGATTAAAATAGTATTTAATTGTAAAAAAAAACTGACAACTAAAAGCAGGTAATGAATGATTCCAAAAGTATTATAAAATATAAAAAAAATATTACTCATGTTCCCCTGAACAAACACAAGGAACAAACAAAGTGCTTCTGCTTACATAGCATATGCTGATGATGACATATATATACATACACACACACGAATCGCCGCAAGCCTCTCACTTCACTATGGCTATTTCCATGGAAAGTTCACGGTTGAACTACATTCTTTATTACCACCAGTTCTAATCTATAACCCGTCACGCCACGCCCATTGTAGCGAAGCATCCCATTCCCTTCGTATTCCATTGATGAGATATAAGTTCTACTTGAGCAGTTTCTTCTTACGAACCGCTGCTTTTGTGGAACCGATTCCCAAGAGGATACATTCCCTCGATCACTACAATCTTAACCTGTTCAACACCGGCGTCAATCTTACCCACATCTTCCCATAAACCGTGGCTCTTACCCTGTTACACTCCACCTCAAGTTGTTCTTCGGCTATGTGCTGGGTGAAGATTCAAAACAATTTGTAGGTAACTTCGGTTCGGAAAACTTACATACTAGTGAAAACCCAAGCACCAACAACTGATGAGGCTGTGACCCTATATTATAATGGATAACACATTTATCAACACATCAAGAAAAGACTTAACGCATCATCGAAAATCAGGATGAAAGCTAACAACCCCTCCCCCACATATATCTTCAATATTATAAATCCCCAGAAAATAGATTTTCTAGGTCAAGCGTCTAATATTTTGGAGAAATTTAAATTTAAACCGTTTGTAATTTCGGTTTGATAAGACGGGTGTTAAAAACTTCCCCGTTGAAATAAATAATAATTTATAACCATGTTTTCCATGATGCGTTAAATTATTCATTGTTGCATACCATATTACTCTGTATACCCATCTTTTTACTATTTTATATTAAAAAGACCTACTTGCATATATATATATATATATATATATATATATATATATATATATATCCAAGAATATAATTGGTGTATACGGAATAAATTCCAATAACCAACAAATACTATTCTTAAAAGTGTGCTCAGTACAGAGTAGAGAAGTTGTAGAACTCTCTTCCGGCCACTTACTTTCCAATCAACTTCGATCTTCAAAAAACAAAATATATATATATATATATATTGTGTAATGGATAGCGGCACGGATTGACGAATCGGAGTGCCAAGTTCGATTTCCAATCGGATCGATTATTTTCACTTACGTGCTAATACCCTTGGGAAAGGTATGAATCCTCTTCTTTTCTCCAAGGTATGTATAAATAGCAGGGCACACCGGGTTCCATAGCCTTGGATATCAAATGGTCTACCGCATAAAGAAATGGCAACCTACTGCGGGAAATAATCTGCCTCGTAAGTCATGTATGGAAAGATTCATGTTCGCTTAAGCGTGTATCCCGCATGGCACATAACTGACTGATAATTATGAGATAATATGCTCAATATGAGAGGTGGAGCATATGTAAATATAAGTGAACAGTGAAGTCAACACTTCAATGTTGACTTATATATATATATATATATATATATATATATATATATATATATATATATAGTATAACACACAAACACATAAAATTTAACGCATAAGAACGCCCTATTTTAAAACAAGTTTCATAACTACACAGAACAATATTTGTAAACGAATGGAATAATATTCGAAAAAACTCGTAAAAAATAATATAAAATAAAAGTTAATAAATTTTTACATGAATTTTGGCAAATTTACCAAAACAAAACAGGTTATTCAGAAATTTGAAAGATATTCAGAGGTGGTACATTATTTATGACTACAAGTTCAGAATTTTACAGGAGGAGGCCGCGCCATTTAACGGACAGTGATTTACTTCTTTTGTCTTCCATTGGGAAGGAGAATATTACACACCGAAAACTTCTTTCCCATCAATTTGTTTTTAAAATCATGTTTGGAACAATCCAATATCTTTCCCCTGCCTCTATACCTCCATATGTACATTATATATATATATATATATATATATATATATATATATATATATATATATATATATATATATGAAATAAATGGAAAGGTGTAAGTATGGGTAAAGGAACAGTGAAAGAGAAAACTGAACGAAAGCGAATGCCGGAAAGTTTGCGGTGTCGAAGTGCCGGAGTCCAGGGGAAAGGAACGCTACCCCGACAGGATAAATCTTCCTGTGATGCTGTCGAACGCTAGACAAGGCCGACATTCGCTTGGTTAATTTGGCGAATTTAATTACACCACTGAGCCGTTGACCTTTTTACAAAAGCACCCAGTGCTACATTGCTGACCTTTTGAAATTTCACTTCTTTGCTGAAATCACTGAAATTGATATTGACTTCTAAGCCCGAGGTCGCAAATGCATGCATATTTTATTTAACTCAACAAGGCAAAGCGTATAAAAATAAAAAAAAATAATGCAGAATTCTTTTTAATTTTAATTTACGAATGCTATGCCATTTCGTGAATTCCACTTGCCGCAAACAAAAAGATCTATCAAGTTGGAAGATTTAAAAAAAAAAAATTCTTTAACTTGATCAATTTAGCATTCAAAATGAATTTTTGCAAACCTACCAATTAACCAGCTCCACACGATTTCTGTTTCAGAAAAGTAACTCTCTCACACATTTATTTCGAACTATAGCGAATTCTTTATTCCCTTAGCAAATGTCTATATCTTTGTAAGATAATTCCGAAAGGAAAGAACATAGCTGAAGAAGGTACCGGCTCGAAGTGTGAACTCGGCGAGCTGAGTTCGAATTCTACTTGAGTTCGTTAGATTAACGCACAAATACACTTGGGAAAGGTATGAATTCATTTCTTCCCACTCCACATGGGTTTAGTTGCAGAAGAAGAAAAATATCAAGTTACAGCAATTAATTTATCAAATTTCACAGAACATCGTCAAAAATAATGTTTAAGCATTTGAAAGTTATTTTCAAACATTTATGATATTAAGGATCATTCATTTAAAAAAAATGTACGGAAAAAACATATTCATGTGGGTGCAATTATTTTTTTTGTTTAAATAAGGAGTAGAAATAGCGGATAAAGTGAGGAAGTGTATTGTTTCCGACACATTACACTTAAAAGACAGGGAAATATTTTATATTTTCCGCAAGATTAGCGATAAATTACTAATAAAATATCAGGACGTTTAATATCCCTGCTTTTCCCTCAGTATATGTGCACATCCTGAAACACACACACAGAATATATATATATATATATATATATATATATATATATATATATATATATATATATATATATATATATATATACTCTACTTAGTGTATTGAGCACTTTACGTAGTTGTCTTTTTACTCGTTTTGTTTTTTTTTATCTTTGGACTTGGAGCTTAAACACTGGACGATTGTTTTTCGCCTTGTTTTAATGTTTTTTTTGTTCTTTCTTTTTTTATTCCCCATTTATCCTCAGGTACCGATTTCTTCTACAGCAAGTTAAGCTATCGAGGTTCTTTCCAAGAGAGCACCACCATTTATATATATATATATATATATATATATATATATATATATATATATATATATATATATATATAATTCTTTTATACTTTTAAAGTTGTATATGTTAAATTTTTTATGTTTTTTTTATATGCGTATTGAGCACATTTTAATACCAGTGTTTCTTGATCTAATTCACCCCCGACGATTAACTTTTATTATTATTATTATTATTATTATTATTATTATTATTATTATATATATATATATATATATATATATATATATATATATATATATATATATATATAACATTTGTGATCATGACATGGTATTTTTAGTCACTTCTCTATCAAGGTAATGTAGCATGTTATGCCTCTTGCATAAATATTTCCTGGCAATTTTTCTGTTAAAATTTCCTCTAGAATCTAGTTTCCTGGTATCTCGACTTTATGAATTTAAACGGAGTACTAGGTTGGCGGCTAGGTTTCATCAGCTTACAGCTCAAATTGTTAGACGTTGCCATATTTCTATGATAAAGGTTTCTTCCCTAGCACTTCTCGCTTGTGGACCTCTCTTCCGCTTCCATGTTTTCCAATCAATTTTGAACTTCAAAACTTTGAATGCAATGTTAATCTTTACCTTCTGTCTTCAAAATTTCTGTTCTTATATTGCTCGCTTTTCATGATAATGTTTGCTTTCTTTTTCTTTTTTTCACATATGTATTGCCTAGCATAAATAGGGAAAGAGGGAGGAAGAGAGAGAGTGAGAGAGAGAGAAGTGCTGAATATCTAACTTAATCACTAAACCTCAGAATTCATTGTGCAGTCCGTCCTTGGTTTGTTCAGTGAGCTTTTAAACACATCGCCGCAGATATGATAATTAGACTGCGACGGGGACGTGCATGTTAACAGATAAGTATGATCAAACCGAGTTAGATATCATCAATTTAACATAGTTGCATTGCGATAGATAGGCGTTAACAGATTGAGAAAGAATCCGGAGTTAGACACTCACCGATGTAGACTTGGAGACTCACACATTTGTCTACTTAAGATTTAAACACCAATCAAAACGGTGCCACTTGCGTAAGTGTGCAGACATTCATCTTTGTGCACACGGGTTAATTAGCTCCCGTGTTACAAAGCGCCTTAATTGCCAATATATTAAATCATATTTAAGGAAGGATGGGTTCAGAATGAAGTCGTCATTATGGAGATATTCATTCATCGATGCATTAGAGAACAAAGGGAGAAAGAAAGAAAGAAAGAAAGAAAGAAAGAAAGAAAGAAAGAAAGAAATGGAAGAGGTGAAAGCAGGATAGACTAAATGAAAGAAAGGAATTGAGGGAAGGATTGACAATGTGATACAGGAAGAGAAACAAAAGAAATAAAGAAAGAAAGAAAGAAAGAAATAAAGAAAGAAAGAAAGAAAGAAAGAAATGGAAGTGATGAAAGCAGGATAGACTAAATGAAAGAAAGAAACTGACGGAAGGATCGACAGTGTGATAAATGAAGAGAAACAACAGAAAGAAAGAAAGAAAGAAAGAAAGAAAGAAAGAAAGAAAGAAAGAAAGAAGGAATCAATTAATAAAAAGAAAGAAATAATGAAGAAAGTAAGAGAGAAATGAAGAAAGAAATAATAATAAAACTGACATGAATAAATAATGAAGAAAGAAAGAAAGAAAGAGAAAATTAGAAGAAAAAGAAGGAAAGAAAGAAGGAAAAAAGAAATAAATAAAGTGACGTAATGCGTGACAGTGTAATAACCCAGAAAAAAAGAAAGACAGAAAGAAAGACAGAAAGAAAGAAAGAAAGAAAGAAAAAAAGAAAAAAAGAAAGAATAGGCAGTGTAATAAAAGAAGAGAAAAGAAAGATAGAAAGAAAGAATAGGCAGTGTAATAAAAGAAGAGAAAAGAAAGAAAGAAAGAAAGAAAGAAAGAAAGAAAGAAAGAAATAAGAAAGAAAGAAAAAGGAAAGAAAGAAAAGGAAGGATTGATAGTGTTATGAATGAAGAGAAACGAAATAAATAAATAATGAAGTTTGAAGACATAACAGTGATAAACGAAGAGAAACAAAAAAGAGAAGAAAGGCGAATGGTTGTTAGAGAAGAAAGGAAAATAAAAAAGAAAGATAAAGAAATAAACAGAAAAATAAAAAGTAGAAAAAACTAAAAATAAGAAAGACGAAATCTGTGCGTAAATTAAGGAAAAGTAAAGGGAAAGCGATAACATGAAAAAAGATATGAATGAGTAACCTAAGAAATTAGAATTCCGAAAGTCAAGATAAGAAATTAAGTACGAACGTCTTATTGATTTCAGATTAAAACTATATGAATAAGATAATGGCGTTGCTCTCGTTACCCGCCAATAATGTTCCCTGCCGATGTAAAAAGTAACAATAGGTCTATTGGAGTGTCGAAGAATCGAATGTTCTTTCCAAATGTAATTCTTATTCGCTGTCAAATATGAGATATCGAACGAGTATTATTAACAGCGACTATAAATTTCCTTCTCAACATAGCACGACATGCGTTATTAGGGAAAAAAAATTGTTGTCTACTTATGTAATTTCTCATTCAGAAGGATAGGGAAGTGAAAAACAATAATATCTGTTATAACTTGAAAATCGCTTGCAATTTTGCCATTATCGCCTCACTCACGCAATGAGATCAGAAATGAACATCAAGGATATTATAAAACTGTCAGGATTTAATCTCCCATTTGAAAACTTAGTTCAGTATCAAGAGATATTCCCTGTTATGTTGGTAGTATATAGTAAGTGACCATCTATCTCAACACACACGCGCACACACACACAGACACATACACACGTATATATATATATATATATATATATATATATATGTATGTATATATATATATATATATATATATATATATATATATATATATATATATATCCGAATGTAATGAGAACGAAATGCACTGAAACAAAGTTGCATCTTTGTAGTGAGTAAATTGTTTTTGTCTCTATGAAAAAATTCTAATATATATATTTGCGTTTTTGTAAGTTTTATACAAGAAAAGAAGGATTTTAAAATCTATGAGGTCAACTTAAATTTCTCAGTCACAAGGTTTATTGAAAGAAAGGGCTAGATAATTAAAAACATGATCCCGATGATAATTTCACAAATTAATTTCAGAAAGTAGTTTGAAATAATTATGTATATTATGACCATGATTACTGCAATAGTCTCACTTTTGACAATTTACTATGATTAGAATATCATACCCCGAGTCATGCACAAACATACTCTCTCTCTCTCTCTCTCTCTCTCTCTCTATATATATATATATATATATATATATATATATATGTATATATATATGCTAGCTTTGTCAACAAGAAAAGTTAACAATAATAATATTTCCAAACCCCAAAAACTTTTTGATTGGGGATTGGAAATTATGATTCGTTGCATACACACTAAAAAATTCTTAAATGATTTCGTATGAATCAGGATGAAAAGAAATAAATCTTGTTGTCAAACTAGTACTTCACTTAAAGTCTGGATACCATAGTGGAAAGCTCAACAGGATAATTGCCATGAAAATATTCATAGTCATGATCGACAACGTCATGAAGTAACTGAAGTAGAGAAGAAACTGTTAGAATAGAACTTCCGGTTTTATGTAGCCATTAAATTTGTAAGTTGATGAGAACTTGCCGCCAATTTATTACTGCGCTTAAATACTTAATGTCTAGATATCATAGAGGAAGGCTCAACTGAACAATTACCATGAAATTATTTCTAGAACATGGCACAGGGAAACTATGTTACGACGGTAGGAATAAGAGTGAAACCGAGATGCCAGATCAGGACCAGTAATATTGCAGATTCTTTGGATTTTAACAAGAATCTCTAAATATATAGCAATAGCAGCAGAATTTGTGATTCTAAGTACAGCCGTCCTTTCTCTTTTAGTTGTCCTTCCATGTTATTCACATTTATTCAATCAATAGTATTCTTTGTGTCTTTCGGTAGAAACACATTTGTTGCTTCAAGTCTCCTCTTCAACTCTGACGAAATTATCTAGCATTCACCGCCATTTTGAAGAACTGATGCAATTAGTGTCTTTGGATGGTAAACATTTATGAAATCTCTAAATATGCATTGTCCTAAACGGTATTTAGAATATAATAGGTCTAGAGTTAGTTCTTAAATTAACGTAAGAATTTATAAAGTATACAGGATTATCGGTTCCTTTGCTGATTTATATGCATTCTTTTGGTTCCCAGAATATGTTAGCTAGACATTCCGAAGCAATTTAAGATTCAATCGAGTGAAACGCTTTTATACTAATATTCTGTCTTTTCTATCATATTGTCGACGTTGCCTAAGAGAGATACATGAAGATAACTAAGACGAAATAAGACAAGGACAGTTTAGTTCTGGCTCCAATCGGGCTAGCACAATTTATTTGTTGAGAATAAACAAAGGGAGAAAACTGCAACGGAAGAACAGAGAGAGGAAATCAAGCACGTGATTCCAAAGAGCAGACTGAGACATGCGTACAAAATGAAAACGGGAACACCGCGGAACAGCGCCAGAAATAGCGACTGCCTTTCAAGACGGGCTTCAAAGAAAATTTAACCGTCTCAACTGGACTACATTGCGAAATCAACGAAGCGAGACCGTTGTTGAATTCGGACAGTGTCAATCATGGTTATTTGGACGAAATCGCCGGAAATGTATCGGTCAGATCACCATTTCAGACAAGGCTATACAGAGAGCGTGTAAATGGCTTCGACTGTATTCAGACTATTCGTATTATGGAGTGAACATTCGATGGAAGACAGGCGCAGTTTTCTTCTAAATTTTGCCAAGTGGACACCATCACCAACCGCCCTGTTCGAGATGCCTGGCTATTTTAGTAACGGTAATTTATTTTGAATATTCTTCTTTAGGACAACCGTTGAATTATCGGTCTTTGTATTTACACGGAATTGTCTTATATCAGATCTGTTTTGTTCTTACATATTTAAAAAAAATCAATACATTATCTCCTAGGGAATTTAATAGAGTGCTGAAAAATTCTCGGCTTCATCCAGTTCTCAAAATCAATATATTAATAACCCAAATTAAAAATACCGATTTCTGGTTTTAGTACCCACTCGGATAGAGAGCGAAGGCATGTCAACACTACTTGTTTCACTCTTCTTGAGATGATCAGACATTGTGTTCATGCATTGATTTACAATGCCGATAAATGTGGTTGTCAAGACAGGAGATTCCACGCAGGAATAATTTCATGGTTCCAGGGCGTGGGGGGGGGATCTTTAGGGAATGTGTGTTCGGTAGAAGCTCAACTATAGGGTGTTTCAATAACTTGGACCGATTTTAAATGTGAATTAAGTTTAAACGTCTAATGATTATTTTTTCCTTTTCTTTCAGATTTAACAACTTAAGTCTGGCAATTTCAACCATAGAAAGATTAAAAACCAAACGTGTTAAAATTGTCGAAGTTTATTACAAAAATGGACGTTCAAATTTATAAATAGACGACACAATGATTCCGCTAGCAAAAAAATGCACACCAAACAGTGACCTTTTGTGAATGCAGTGATTTTCAACAATCTTCCTTGGATTTTCATCAAACCAAATGCGACAATTCTGCTTATTAACGAATCCACCAACATGAAAATTGGCTTCATCACTAAAGAGGATTTTTTGTGAAATATCTTCATCAGTTTGCCTTTGATCATAAATGCGCTCCAATTGGTCAGCAGGTTGCAGTTCTTGTGTCAATTGAATTTTGTAAAGCATGTAGAGACAAATCTTTTCTCAAAATACGATGTAACGTTGTTATGGAGAGGTTCAGTTACTGCGAGCGATTACAAAGAGAGGTGTCTGGATTTTCAGCCACATTCACGTGCACTGCAACAATGTTTTCAGCTGAACGGCTTAAACGAGCACGCAGTAGTGTTTTCCCATCTGACATTAACCTAGTTTGAATTTACGAACAATGTTTCCAATTGCACTCTCGGTTTGTCGATTATGTTGGCCCAAAAATCGCTATGTGCGTGAAATGCATTTCTATATGAACGTCCATTTTCATAATAGGCTTCGATAACTTTAGTACGTTGGTTGATTGTTAATCTTTCCATGGTTGAAATTGCCAAAGGCTTAAGTTGTTAAATCTGTAAGAAAAAGAAAAAAAATCATTAGACGCTTATATTTATATATGCTGGTCTTTGTGGCATTATGGGTAAGAAGGTCAGTCTCATTACTGTGGACTGTTTATTGTTACTTTACTTTTTTTGTCGTTATAAACCAAACATAAGTATACATTCATCTATCTATCTATCTATCTATCTATCTATCTATCTATCTATCTATCTATCTTCTTTGTCGCTATCTATCGATCTATCTATCTATCTTCTTTGCTCCTATCTATCTATCTATCTATCCATCTATCGTCTTTGTCGCTATCTATCGATCTATCTATCTTCTTTGCTCTTATCTATCTATCTATCTATCTATCTATCTATCTATCTATCTATCTATCTATCATCTTTGCCCCTATCTATTTATCTTCTTTGTCCCTATCTATCTATCTATCTATCTATCTATCTATCTATCTATCTATCTATCTTTCTTTCTTTCTTTCTTTCTTTGCCCATATCTATCTATCTATCTATCTATCTATCTATCTATCTATCTATCTATCTATCTATCTTATATTTCATGTAATTAAATATGAGTGGTCTATATATTTCCGGTGTAAATGTGTTATTACTTTCATAGCAATCATATCCTCCTTGTCTGGCGCAATACAGTCTTCAGGCCTATTTATCAGTGTGTACATTTCCATTTTATTAAAATCTGTAACGACAACGGTATATCAATATGCCACTGCCAATTTACAAATCTATATATTTATAGATAATTGCGATTAATAATCTCCCTGGCCTATAGGTTCGCGCCACTCTTTCATGAACTTACTGATATTTGCTTGATCCTAGCCTGAAACAACATCAGGGCCCCGTTATTATTTTCCCCGGCAAACTAAAGATGAGATAGCATTT